ATTTTAATACGTATTTAAACTTCCCGCGGTCGCAGGCCTTGAAGCAGACTTTTGGGCACATTAGTTACATGTAAGTAGTCATCGGAGACGATTGTAAAATGAGCAGGGGAAAGCGAAAATGGAACAAGAAATTACGATCCTTCGAACCTTGATCCCATAGTTTTTACTTTTGCTTTTCTCACCAAAAATAATTTCCGCTTTCCCCTCAGAAGTTTGTATCTGATATGCTTGTTTTCATATAAATGTAGAGAGAGAATGCATATCACTTTTAAGTTTTTCTTTTCACTAATCGTACAGAACATAGTTCCTAATTTTATTAAATACCTCACCCTCTTGTCATACTAACTTCCTTAATTATTGCACAGTAATTAGTCGAATATTTAAATTGGAAAGAAAAATTGTGGTATTGTCAAATGTATTTGTTGAAGTAAATAGTATATATCTAAAAATCAGTATGGGATTTTAAAGTGAACCTAATCATGGGGCACTTCCTTGATGGATGGGGAATGAAAGCAACTGAGTTATAGGACACTATGCGTAAGGACTCAACTACAAAGAAATTTTTGGAGTGTTTTATGCTCTAAAATGACAGTGTTTAACCAAATGGTCGAATCAGATTTCATCTTTGTTGTTGACCGGATTAGTTCAACAAGAGATTTCAATGTTTTTTTCTAGTGCATTGAAAAAAGATCATTTTTATGTGAGATTGTTGCAGAAGCGCACTGCATTAGCATTAAAACACTGGTAATTCACTCTTCTGAACCTCCAACTTTTCGCTACTTTGAAAAGGCAAGGCATTGTAGAAGCATAGCCTTAGTCAAATACTTACAAGAGCAAGCGTGGCAGTATTCGTGGCTATGCTCACTATAGCACAGGTCGAGCGTTCCTCTATTATAAACTCGTAAGTGTAGATGCCGTGCATTAGGCCCACTGGTATCTAAAAAGTTGAAGTACATTTGAATCATATTTTAAAAAACCCCAAACTGGATCTATACCTGAGTGGCAACTATGATTGTGTATACAACTACTAGGATTATAATTGTGTTTCTTGGAGATCGCAGTGTGAGAGAATCTACTGGATAGACAACAGCAAGGTATCGGTCCAGTGCCATTAACGTTAGTGTCCAGACAGAGCAGTAAGCAGATATGTGCTGAAATGTATGAATATGTTTAAAATCAACGAAATCATTCATTCTATCTCCTGTCAAAGTTCATTAAATCGCTTTTTTATCCATTACGCGCTCTATTTTATCCAAGACTTGCCAATTATCTTGATATCCAGCCAAATCAGATCTTTCCAATTGTAAGATTTTGCAAGTTCTTCGTAATGGTCAAAAGCACACAAGCAAATATTCTAACACAATTTCTATTCAAACAACAAT